GTGCTGGGATGCAACCTGCGTCGACACTTTTGCTGAGTCGCACGTCAATAATTCGGCTATTTCTGCTGGGTTCGCGGCTCGTGCGGCGGAGGATAGCAAGAGACGTAAATACGCGGCGTTGGCAGCTCGGTATCGTTTCGAGCCAGTCGCATTGGAAACGACGGGCACATATAGTGAAACGACTGGTCCTTTAATATCAGAGTTTGGCCGTCGCATTACGGAATTGTCCGGCGAACGTAGAGAGACTCTATGGTTGGAGCAAAGGTTGGGTTTGACCGTGCAGAGAGGCAATGCAGCTAGCATCCTAACAGCAGTCAGAGAAAAGTTCGACGTGGGCCCGCTCCTCGCTCACGTCACAGCTCAGTGACCCTCGGAGTCGGTGTAGGCCACCATCAGAGGCGTTAAGGTCGGGGCCCTGATCATTGACATGAACCCATTCCCTGTTTTTAATTAATAAAATCAATTCTTTTTTTTTGTTGGAATGGTGAGTGTGGGAGGCCTTTAAAAAAATTGATCCGGTTATTCTTCGGAAGCTTTAGTGTTTCGCTTTGTCTAACGTTCTGGGACTAGAAAGATTTTTATATTTATATACATTTTCCATTTTTCATTTTCTATTAATTTTCATCTCTTATCTTGCGTTCTATCAAATCTCTTTAACTTAGTTGGAGAACTGGAATAGGTTATCTTGCAGTTTAACTTATTGGAAGTTCTTTAAAGTTACTGGCAGTTAAAGTTGCTTTAAATAGATAACGAAGTTCAATTTTGTTTTCCCGATTTCAAAAGTTTTCGTGCCGGTCTGAAAACTATGTACATCGTGGATTAATCCTGTCCACGCATATTAATCAGAATATCTAATAATTAAATCAGGAGGTTAGCGCATTCGATGACTCTATTTCTTCTTCGCTCGTTTTCACAGATGCTCGGCGCGTCTTTTTTCCTTTCGTTCGTCGCAATGACCGCGGCAGCGACTACGATGACGAAGGCACCGACAAGAGCAGTCGTGAAGATGACGATAGGGACGGCAGCGTTGCCGCAAGGCTTTGAAGGTATTAATGATACTCAATAGATTTATTTTACTTGTGAGCAAGCAGGATTTTTTTATTGTATCTTTCATAAAAAATTATTTAAACTCAGACTTATGTGGTTAGGACTTAGGTGATCGGAATCGACTTAGATCGAAACATTTGCTATACGAGCGAAAACTCGAGCAGGACTGACCAGTAACAGTAACCCAACGGAGAGTTTTCATCGTGTTCATCTTCATTTTCCAGAAGCTCGACTGTTCGGACAATCCACTTCTACACAGCTAACTTTATCCACCACCACTACCCCGTTGACATGCGTTACTAGTGAGTACATCAATTAGCACGTTAAACCAACAACATTAAAATGGCAAATATTTTAATTCATTTCAAGACATTCATTTCTAGTGAGCGCTCCCATGCATTAGCTCCTATCCACTAGAAGTAGTCCAGCTAAACCGAGGTTGGTAGCCTATAGTGAGTACTTTTACAAGCTCTCTGAATTTCCAATGAATACTTTGAATCCTCTAGTCACAAAGAGAATATTTTAAAGCTTATTTGTGAATATTCTTTTGAAAAACGCCAAATGGTATATTCTACAACTGTTTCAGAATCGTTCCAGAGAAAATGAATATAGAATTTTTTGGCTAAAAAAATGACTTTGTGTTGAAAACTTGCAGTTCATATCTCAACACTTGATAATTTTTCTATCAGCCTATCAGAACTCACGATGAATGAAGCATATAATTCAGTCGTACCGATCACCAAAAATTAACAACTGGTCTTCTGCACTTTTTAGAAATCAGCCTGTTTTATTTATGTGATATAATTATAATTGTACCATGAACTTTAGACTCCATTGTTGATCTCATAAACGGAAACAGGAAGCCGATTAATCTCGGAAAAAAACGTTGTTTAAATATAACTAAATATTGTATTTCAGTGAATATGTGTTAATAGGATTAAATTTATTCTGATGGGTTTTATATGGCCAATAGCAAGCCCAGTACGGTAACTGACTTTTGAACTGAGATAGCGTGTGATCAGCATAGCTAGTATGAAATAAAAAATATAATATAACCTAGCTTGGGCTGTTCTAGTCCCAACATGAGTGATGATAACAGCTAAACCTTTTTATGTAACGTGTCTCAGAGCATGATTAAATTAGTGTACTATTCTTTAATGCATAACGAACACGCCAAAAGCCATAAATGAAAGAATTTACCTGGCCATTTAAAGAATGATAAAATAAAAAACGAGAGGGCGCACGGCTACTAATTGTCAAAGATCTAATGTTGCAGATAGTTTACGAAGTCATGATGAACGAGCTATACAGAACGTAACGACCATCAGCGAATAGTCGACAATCTTACAAATTGTCAGAGAACCACACTTCGCCCACGTGTTTGAAAGCAGATTTGACTTGAACGTTGCTTTGAGAGGTTCACAAAACATGATGGTGCTTTGAAAATCACGACTTCAAAAAGTCATCTAGTGATGTCATTATTACCGAGAACATTTTTCCTGAGGTAAATTTCGTGTAGTACTGATGGTTTTTGCTTCGTAGTCAATCAACCCGGACTATGCAACAAACGCCGAAGACGCCGGGACTCGGAAACTCGATCACGCGCTCCACCGACTCTGAAGAACGTCTTTGAAGGGGCCGAGCTCTCCAGCTCCTTACTGGACTCCAGCCGTCCAGATGAAGAAATCACGGCTAAATCCTACCGTGGCTTACTGACTTTCTGGCAATTCTCAACGTCCACAGTAGTTCTTACCTCCAACATGACCACCTTCGTTAATTTAAATCGACTTGTCAATATTTTCCTTGGCGTATTGGGGTGCTCAGCGACTCTTTGTTTAACTTCATAGATCATTGCAAGAAAATTTCATAGTACATGTCATGTTAAATTTGATCTGAAACTATATTCAATATTCTAATATCATACAACATTAATGAATATATGAACACAGCAAAACTGATAGTGAGTGATTATTATCATAACTAGAATCCAGGCCAAAACTTATGCAATGGACCATAAAAATGTCCCTACCAAACCTCTATTGAAACCAAGGAACTTGCAAAAGAAGGTCTGTCAATTACAATGAAGCTACTATGTAATTCCGTCTATCATATGTTTATGTTTTCTAACTGCGTGTCTTAAAAAATATGTTTTTTACTCAGCATTATTAAGCCTGGAATATAATAAACTTTCGCATATGAATATTTCATTATTGATATGTTTGGAATTACTTTCGGTTCACAGCTTAGTAAGTAAAGTAAAACGTACCTCAAACACTCACTGTTCCAATAAACACAGTTACAGCAACGAAATATTGCGAACGTGTTAAACTTATAATCATTGAATGGAACACTATTTATTGATGGCGCCTACGGTCCATCAAGAAATAAAACCTTACTTCAAAGGAATCGATCCTGATGTAGTAATTAGCATCCGTTAGCTGCACGAGTTTTCTAACTATTAATTGGTAGATGAGTAACGTTCCAAAAATTATCTTCACAGAAACCGACTTCATTGTCTTGACGCGCTTAATTTGGATGAACAACTGCGGTGCGAGATTCTGGATATCGTTTCATCGGATTTATAGCAGCTTTCATTCAGGGCGGCAAATAGCGCGCGCGTCAAAAATGCCGCGGCGGTATTTACCGCGCAATCTTTCACACGAAGCGGTTTTTAACGCTTGAATATATCAGTCTTGCAGTGCTGTTTTATGAACCATCAGTCCATCTCTATGTTTATGTAACAATATTTCTGTATGGAAATATATCTCTATGTGAGAATAATGTAAATACATCTCTATGGGAATACCTATATATTTTATGGAAAATATATCTTTTATGAAAGCATATCTCTATCACTTTAATGGAAATATATATTTATCAATGTATATCTATATGATTATATAACAATACTTTTGTAACATTATTTATGTTACAATATTTATTTACCGATATTTATGTAACAATATCAGTCTATAATTATCCATCAGCAGGGTGCGTGCCGGTCATGGAAAACCTGGAAAGTCATGAAATTTGATTTTTCATTTTTCAGGCCTGGAAAGTCATGGAATTTCATTTCAGGTCATGGAAAGTCATGAAACAAAAGGCGTTTTGATTTCCCAATAAGATTGATGTTGGTTACATGGCCAGGACAAAAAAAAGCTTGCAGACAAGAAGGCACGTGCACTGCAAGTTCTCACTGTCAAGACACGAGCGCAGGACTTCATGCAGGCTGTAGTCCAAAAGCTACTGGACAAGAGCCCTCCCTATCAGGTAAGTCTTTGGTAGGAACCTGAGATGGCCATGGTGCCAAAAGTCTTTAACAAGAAGGACTGGAAGGAAGCCCACAAGACACGTTTGAAGAACCGTCTCACTTTGCTTGTTATTGCCAAGAGATTACCTAACACAGATGTGGATGGTGTTGTGCGATGAGATGTGCAACTTTAGAGATGAATCACAAGATTGCAGTGATCTGAACGCACATTTTCGAGCATTTTCAACTTATGATCGACTGGACACTTTTTGGCATGCCATCCTGTCGAAGAGCACCTACAAGAAGCTCTGGAATGTAGTGCAGTTTCTCATGCTCCAGTCTCGTGGCCAATACACGGTTGAAAGAGGGTTTTTGTTCAAGAAGGAAGTCATGACACATTACATGAAAAAGTGAACGGCGGTTGCCCTGCGTGCTGTGGTTGATCATGTTGCACATGTTGGTGGCCTGTACAAGATGATCATCACCAAGAAGATGCTGCTTGCAGCTGGTAGTGCCATGACAGCCTACAATAATTATTTGACAGAAGAGAAAGAGCAGAATACGAAGGCCCAGAAAACCCAGAAGAGGAAGGCTCTGTTGGATGAGCTGGATGAACTGAAGAAGAAGAAAAGGCGTACGGGGTAGGGCATCAAGGCGCTTGAGCAAGCAGCAGATGAATATGCAGAAGCAAGGGAGAGAAAGGGGGAATTGAAAATTGTCACCAAGTTCAACGTCATGAGACGATCTTTGAAAACAAAGCAACAGGAGCTAGACACTCTTGAACTGAACATTAAAGAAAAAGTTGATGAAAAAGCTGCCAGTTGAATGTTAGGGTAGTGTCGTTGAAGAGTGTTCTGAACTGTATTGACATTATCAAATATAATCTTGTTTACCTTACTCAATACAGTATTTGTTGCGATTTGACACTATTGAATTCATAATATTACCAGTGTGGGCTTGATTTTCAGATATGTCATTTTTTATCCTCATGCACTGTTTGCCTGCTCTATGCATTCACCCATTCGTTGTTTATCAACTGTAGGAGGTGATAGAATATGCACGGTTAGTTTTTCAGTCATTCTAAACCTGTCGTATACGAGTCTTGGAAAATTATATTGATGGTCACGGAGATTATTGGAAATTTTTTTTCTAAATGCCGGTACGCACCCTGTGTCAGTCTTGCAGTGCTGTTCATTATGCATCTAAAATACGGTCCAACTGTCTGTACCACACTAGGACGTGGCGTCAAAAACCGCCTTGTGTGAAATACATTGAATACCATTGCAAGTTAAACTGTCGCGGCAAATCTACCGCTGCAGTTTAAGCAGGACGCACGCGGGCGTCAGGCGTCAAATTCTACGCCGCGTTAAAAGCCGTCGTGTGTGAACATCAGTGCACATTTTGTATGTCCGCTAAGGTTCGTCGGCAAATATTTACTGGCAGTATTTACTGCCCTGTGTGAAAGGGGCCTGAGATTCTAGAATTACGCTCTGTTAGCCCGGCAGTATTATATCTGCATTCAGAAAACTTGTGCAAGTCTTATCGTTGCGACATCTGCATCTTTAGTGAGTAGCACATCCAAAGGAAAATTTCATCGGAAATTGTTACGGAATTATTATAAACTACCTTCTTAAAATACAATTGCACTAACCAGTACAATTGGTAGTGTCACTTTATTACCTATACCTGTAGGTGGCGCTGCAATCAACTTAAATAATGTCTAATATATAAAATTTAAACAAAAAGCGATAAGTTAACTTTGGCCGTAGTTCCATGTAATTGTGGGAGCCCTTTGAGGGGGTATAATTGTTTTATCATGCTCTTGGTTGTTTGCATCACTTCTCTAATCTCTTGAAAATATAGCATGATCAACATAAATTTTAAACTTGAAGCAGTCTAACATTTTTCTCTCTGTTGGACACCTCTTTGACACGTGATGCATGCCAAGGAACAAGAATGAGTGGCATCCATTAATATGTGGGCAAATAATATACCCACGATAAATCGTTCAGACACATTTCTATTTTCGTATACACTCCAAGTCTGTGGAGCAATAGGTGTATTACGTTGGCCATGCAATTGCCTTGTCCCTCCTCTTTCGACATCCAAATCGGTCGTAGGCAGGATTTATTCCTTAGTTCGTCTCACTATACAGCATACAGAGCAAACTCGGTTTACATCCTCTTGATCTCATCTCCTTCCAATTAAGAGCGGCCGGTGTTGTCTTTACTCGTATAGGTTCGTGTTGAGCTGTTACTGGTACAACACGGGGATCATCAGTGCAGGTACCAAACACGTTTTGAAAGATTTGATAAGCATTTTTTCGATGGCTGATATACTTTTTATTATCAAATCTCAGGCGCATTGAAAAAAATAAATAATGCATCAAAACTCATTTAACCCTGTGTAATAGTGTTTTGGAGCGGCTTCAGGCAACCAAAATAATTTTCTAGCGGATTTTACGTTAGATATGAACTGTTAATACTACAAAGATACGCTTACGAATAATATCAACCAACCGCAAATTAATTCTTTTTACAAAAAGTACTCTAACCTTGATTGATCATGAATGCTGAAAGGAAGAGAAATCGTTATTATTCAAGGTAATCAAGGTATTAATGTGAAATTATTAGGCGTTAATCTTCATTTCATAAATTGTTTATTGTCCGAAATTTTAAATTGTCATTTTGATTTAAAGGATGAGGTGAATATAATTTTTTATTTTTTTTTTTACTTTTTTTATATAAGGAAGGTTCCATAATTTTTCTTCCTTCTTAAATGCAAGAGACTTAGAAAAAATAAGGTATTCCTTCAAATGTATGTATTTCAACAAATACGAGACATTTTTAACCGCTACCCCAGACTGGGATAAATTTACCCTATACACTTTGGCCGCACAACAATTATTTGCCGGCTGCTGGTCGGATACCATCTGCCTGCTGCAATTGAAAACAAAAGCCGGACCTCAAACTCACGCACCGAAAGGCATAAGTGGTCCTTGACTACAGCAAAAGAGATTTTGGTGCCACTATAAACTTTTCTCCTGAAATTTACTGTTTTGCTAATTTTTTGGCATTGTTTCAGTGGCAATGTAAATGTGCAGGTATTGTTCAGATTTTCGCGTTTGTTTTTAAATCACATTTTACAAACATATTTAATATTTCAAAAGATCGAGAAAACATAGCAAGCTTTAAAATCGTCATGTGCATGGCCTATGGGAAAATCCAGGCTAACTTTTTCTATTGGTATAATCCTGTATTACCAAAAATCCGGGCGAATTCAATTCTAACAATTTTTCATAATTTAAATCGATTTTGTTGCGAAAATGACGCAATATCTTTAAACCAAAACAGCAGCACACTACTAGTTTTTTTTAATTATTTTAAGAGTTTGGCTGCCAATTGGTAGGATCAATTGCCATTTTTTCGCCTAAAGTATTGCTTCATTTCTCACCAGCCTCGCGTAAGAGGGTGCTGAAAAAAAACACGTTGGTGTAATTTGTTCCTGTCACAGCCGCTATAAATAAACTTTACTATCAGCAATATATTGAATTTTAAGGGTGGCTTATAAGCTGTAAAATCTACCAACCATCAGTACCTTTAGCCTTAGTGAGAAAGAAGAAATTCAGCGAACTTTTTAGTAGCGAAAAATATAATGATTCTTACGTTGTTTTTTTACGTGCGTTACTGCATAGAATTTTATTTTAGGGTCGAATGTTGCGAAGATTAATGATGTCCGCATAAAATATTTTTGTACAACTCCCGTATTAAGTCTTGTTGAATACAGAGAGCACATTCCACAATGAGCGACACAAAGCAGCATGTCGGGTCTGAGCTAAGCCAGCTTGCTTTGAATTATTAAAATAGAACAACATGTGCAAAACGAGCTTGAAATACAAAATTAAAACGTTACTCATTACAAAATTCGCTTTGATAAAAAGGATACAAACGAAAAGGACTCATACTTTAATATTAAAATATCGAGATAGGCGGAATTGAATATGAGCTCAATTCAACTGCAAACTTTATTCCTATCAAGTAAATTGCGGTGCAATTAAATTAATTTTTTTTTCAATTTAATTCAATGTTTCAATGTTTAATTCAATGTTTAATTCTGTTCAAATGTTCAAATATCGATATCAATCTTTTATAACCAAGATCCCTGCAGACATGTAATAGTTCCTTCATTTAGACATGTCGATGTAATGCATTTGATGAGGCTGCGAATGAAAT